TTTATTTTGTATACTCAAGTGTAAGAACATAGAGAAAATTTGTGTCAAAGTTGACTTACCTACCTTGTAGATAGATGTAACTGTAATCTTTAGAATAGTTTTTAGGCTTATAGAGTAATCTTTAGAATAGTTTTTAGGCTTATAAAGTAAAAAGGTAAGTCAGCATCATTTTCTCAAGTTAAAGTTATTTTTGTAAAGTTTAATTTGAGCATTTATCTGATCAAATCTCATTGTTTGCATTGCTAAAGGTTTTCCTTAACTTTTCCTTAACTTCAAGAAACTTTTCATCTTTAGATATCTTGCTTTTGATGGGAAAGATTCCGGAAAGTATACGCTTATCCAAATGCTCAAGCTCAAGCTTAAGCTCAAGCCTAAGCTCAAGCTTAAGCTCAAGCTCAAGCTTAAGCTCAAGCTCAAGCTTAAGCTCAAGCTCAAGCTTAAGCTCAAGCTCAAGCTTAAGCTCAAGCCCAAGCCCTAAGCTCAAGCTCAAGCTCTAGCTCAAGCTCAGCAGAGTTTAGTCGAAATTTCCGTGAAGACGAGTTCAAAACCCCACTTTAAAATGTGTCACAAGTGAAAATGGGTGGTGGGAAAGGGGGTAGGAAAAAGCAAAAAACTTGCCATACAAGGTTGTGTTGAGAATTTGGTCTTTGATCGGCTGCCAGCAAGACGCGTGTCCCCCCTCAGATTTCCCTCTTCTCCTCATGTCCCCCATGTCTCACTCCTTTCACCCCTTCATATTGATCCCCATCCTCCTTTTCTTTTGCCTCTCCAAAAGATGGCTGAATTGAGAGAAAAAGAGGGAGTGGCCTTTGGGCCCCCAGCTCAACCTCCACTCTCACCCTTTTTCCATTTCATCAATCCATCTAGCTATCCCAGCTTTCAACAGCTCTTTATCACTATCAGGAAAGTTTTTTTGTTTTTCTTGACTCTTTATCGGATTCGATTTGATCTGTTTTTCAAATCTGATCTGTTTTTCAAATCTGATCTGTTCTGTCAGTAATCTGTTCAGTAGATCTTTTAGTTATCCACCTATAGATCTTTATCACCGTCAGATATCAGAGTACCAATAGATCTTTTATTTATCCACCTAGTTTATCTATCAACAGATCTTTATCACCGTCAGATATCAGAGTAACTTTTTCACAAGTAATCTATTGCTTTTCGAATCCGAGGCTTATAATTGTTTCATTTTTCAAGTATCTATTCAACCTGGCTTTTCAATAGGTCATATCAACAGATCAACAGATCAACAGATCAACAGATCAACAGATTAACAGATCAACAATCCACCTTGAGATCTTACTATTAGACAAACTCTTGTTTTCTGGCCCAGATTAAAGCCTCATACTTGATCTGATTCACAACCATCAATGATTCAAATCAATGATTGAATCGGATCCTTTCAATTGAATCAAATAAATGATCCCACTTTGTCAGAGTTGATTTGCGAAATGAGCAACCTTTCCTGTTGGCTGTTGGCTCTTTCCTATTTTCTAAGCCTATACCTTAAGCTAAGCCTATACCTATACCTTAAAAAAGTCAGGTACTTTAACTGTGAAACGGATATAACGGGTACCTTAAGAAAACCTTAAGGAAGTGATGATGCCCGACAACGTACGACAATGAGTCACAGTGACAATGTACTCCCGCACCCGAAGTAACACCCGAATGCCCAAACAAATGCCCAAACAATCCGACTCTTTCACAAGTGCTGACTTTTTCTAATCTTGCCTTGATTGCCTTGATTACGGCTTGATCATTTTTTTGGCATTAGAATAATATCGAACATGGCATTGTTCTAATGTATGGCATTGTTTTCAGAAAGAACTTGTTTAAGTAAAAGTTTATTGGTGAATCGTTGTATAAGGTGTATAAGGTCGTTAAAGTATCCAATTTTTTAAAAGTACTTACCGTAAATACTGTAATAGTACCCCACCGCCCTCGTACAGTCGGGTAGTCGCAAAAGTTTTTTAGTATTTCATTTTTTTCAAAGCGCCCGTACTTTCAAAAGATGCGTCTTTGGTATCAAAAAATAACCCTGAATTTCAGCTATTTTTTGATATCTAAGCGCACATTGTAGCATAAACCAGTGTCGAGAAAAACGCGTTTAAAACTAGACTACACAACACTCCGCACCGTCATTATGGGGGTAGGGTACTATTACAGTATTTACGGCAAGAAAAAAACCCTTTTGTTTTATGGCAAAAACTTGTAACTTATCTTTTTCCATTTTTAAGTTTTCAATCTTTTAATCGTATCCGATTTTCACCAAACAATAGTTCTTTAATACTAGGTTTCTTTTAAAACAAAAGCTCTTGTTTTTAAAACTCCGAATTCAGCCAATCTTATGGGCTGAATCTGGCCCATCTTATGGGCTAAATCTGGCCAATCTTATGGGCTAAATCTGGCCCATCTTATGGGCTAAATCTGGCCAATCTTATGGGCTAAATCTGGCCCATCTTATTTCAAGTGATTCAGCTTTTTCAATTATCCCAATTAAACGCTATCGAAGCAAATTTCAGCAAACTTTTTAGCTGGTAATAGAAATCGAACAATTTCACGATAGCAATACAGAAAAAAAAGCTCAACTCGCAGACTTGGCAATCAATTTACGTCGAAACGGTATCTCTCGTTCATTTTTATTTATCTCTCGTTCATTTTCCCGTTTTCTGATCACTTTTTTTCCGAATTTTTCCAAAAAATTCTTCTCAAAAACTTTCAAAAATGTCTGAAAATCTCGAAAAGAAAACAATTTCACTTTAAAGTTTCACCAGAATTCACCAGAATTTTCCCCATAAATGTTCAAAGTTCTCGTCGATGTTGATCAGAAAATCGTTAAGAAATTTGATTCCTTCAGGGATTTATACTTAAATCCACTGATTTACCAAGAATCGTACAAATAAACAAGAAATTTTTTCCCCCAAAATCCAATTCATTTTCGATGTTTTAGATCACAAGACGATCAAATCCGCCCCATTTTTTTTTCATTTTTATTTACGAGATCCACGCTAATCTTTTCGCTTTTCTTTAATCTTTCCTCAAATTACCCGATTTTTCATTTATTTTACTATTAAAAAAGTTTCAAAAACAGTTTTTTTTCTAGGAAACTTTCTGATTCTCTTGAAGCCTTTTGAGAAGTCTATTTATTAGGCACATTGCATAAGAAACAATAGCTAGCACTTTATTTGATCAAAACCTTTCATTTAGCCTTCTCTATTAATTTCGGAGCCATTCTATTTATCTGGGACCCTGGGATAATCTCCACTTTTGGTTCGATCCATTGCATGCTCGATCATTATGGCCAAACATTCAGATATCTCGCGGATTTGAACATTTTTTTCTTTGCTTAGACTCGTGAATTGCGCAAGAAGTCAAAGAAGTAGGCAAAGCGAGATCATCTTTCATTCTTCTATTCGTTTTTATCTGCTCTTTTAATTGTATATTGTATTTTTTAACTTCAAAGCTCAAATAAATGACCCTCAATTTATTTTTGGTGCTCATGTTCCCTTTATATATGTTGTGTCCGATTTAGATTTCCGTCCGATTTAGATTACAGTCTATATCGGACGTCCGATTTAGATTCAATCTAAATCTTATATGGATTGAACAATAATATAAACATGCTTAATATATGTTCTTAAGCGTTTTCTGTAGTTTTCTGCATTGTTTCAAAGGTCTTTTATTGATTACAGTCTATATCGGACGTCCGATACAGATCGAACAATAATAAACGTGCTTAACATATGTTCTTTGAAAAGCGCAGAAAATTGCAAAAAAAACGCTTAAGAACATATATTAAGCACGTTTATTATTGTTCGATCTGTATCGGACGTCCGATATAGACTGTAATCTAAATCGGACGTCCGCGATAAGTTCAATCTAAATCGGACGTCCGATTTAGATTGAATCTAAATCGGACGGAAATCTAAATCGGACACAACATATATATATATATATTTATTAGGTACATTGCATAAGAAATGCGGATTTGAACATTTTCATCAATTTTCAACGATAGAAATCAATTCCAACGATAGAAACCTGACATCAATGAATGTTATAAACTATTTGAAAGTTGTAAATCTCCTCTACAAAATTTTGGGAAGCTAACTCGATTTTGACCACACTAAACTTGTCCCTAAAGTGACTCGATTCTTTTTTTTTGGTCACTCGCATTTCGCTCTCGAAATTTCTTCAATGATTCGATCATTTGAAACACGTTTTAGCCTATTTTGTAGAGGAGATTTACAACTTTCAAATACTTTATTATATTCATCGTTATCAAATACTTTATAACATTCATCGATATCAGGTTTCTATCGTTGGGAATTTATGAAAATCTTCAAATCCGCATTTCTTATGCATTTACCTAATACTTAATAATATTCTTATCATTTTTATTCTTAAACCTCTAATTTATCATTATATTTTATTAAACTATACAAAATTTCTTAAAGTTAGCTTTAAATTGAATTGTTAAAGTCGTTATTGAATATAATACTGAACAAAATCATTTCCAAGATTCTTTTCTGATCCACTTTAATCTTTAAAATTCATAAAAAAACTAAAAATATTAAATCTTTAGAAATCTGTTTATATTGATATTTTCTTTAAAAAAAGAAGTCTAAGATTTCTTATTTACATTAAAATCTATCTTCTTCTATCTTCTAAAGCTCTGAAACTTTGCTTGAGCTTTTCTTGAGCTTTTCTTGAGCTTTCTTGAGATCTGAAACTTTTCTTGAGCTTTTCTTGAGCTTTCTTGAGCTCTGCAACTTTTCTTGAGCTTTTCTTGAGCTTTCTTGAGCTCTGAAACTTTGCTTGAGCTTTTCTTGAGCTTTCTTGAGCTTTCTTGAGCTCTGAAACTTTTCTTGAGCTTTAACTCTTTGTCAGGTCAACTCTTTAACTCTTTGTCATTAGTAAACTATTTCATTTAATGCATAAAACCTTTGTTGTTTAAAGAGAATATATTCAGTATCTTTTCTTTAAATTCTTATTTCCAGGCCATCCCAGCACCTCATCTGCCTCTCCGTATCCCCTAACATCACGAGCCCATTCGGCGTTCTCTCTTCTCCTACCAGGATCCTCAAGCTTGCACCAGGTGGGACAATATTGTTCATAATGTAGCATTTAAAAGTTCAGCTATTTAATTATAACAATAACTAACTTTTTAGCCGGTTAGTTCGCCACCGTTGGCGAGTGGTTGTGCTCACCGTTGCCCCCACCATTGCCGCCCGTGCCACCGGCTCCGGTCAGTGCAAAGTTTAATACAATACCTGTACAATACCTGTACAATACCTGTACATTTACCTGTTAACTGGGTTGTACTTTACGCTTTAAACAAAAGACAACCTTTCTGGTGCACTGAGCTCTTTGTTTTTATGTAAGAAAATGAAGAATTGAGTGTAGTGCATGAAAATGGCTGTGTTTCTATTTCTAAGAACAAATTGTAAAAACCAAACAACCCAGGAAAGACATATGCAACAGATCAGGCTTATATTCAAACCTCAGCTAAGTGTGGAAATTAGATCTTGGTATTCAGTAGATCTTTTGGCAATAGATCTTTTCATAATAGATCTTTCCACAATTGATCTTTCCACAATAGATCTTTGTGTTGCACCTGTTTCAATGTGCCGAAATGTTAATGGTAAAAGGATGACAACATAAAGCTTATTAACTATTTCAGTAATGATTTCAGGTGGTGGACGGGGGCGGCGATTTGCCGCTATTTCCCCCGTTGATGGTCGCAATTCCATCGCTGCTCGAGTCATTGTCACCGCATATTCTTCGATCACACATGACAACGGCACATTTTAAACCGATACCCAACAATGAGCGGTGGGTTTTCGAGGATAAATCAAGAAAAAGTTGCAATCCAAATACTTTACCAGATTCATTGTTCCTCTATCAGTTTCATAATTAAGCCAACTTTTAAAACTAGCTTTCTTTTTGAATCCTTTTGATCAAATCATTTTGATTAAATCATTTTGATCATTTTGATTATTTTACTATTCTTTTTTACTATTCCAATCAATGTCATTTAGTAATTTCAAAGAACATTTCACATGTAAAGCATTCAAAATTCTGAGGCATCGTTTACAAAGCACAAATTGGCATTGGAAAGATGATTGGAGTGAAAAGAGGGATCGTTTAGAAAAGAGACATCAAATATTAATTGGCGAGGTTGGGAAAGCGGTTGGAAAGGGATGGGAGAGTCTAAAAGGATAAATAAAGGAGGGACAACGATTTTCGATCTCTTACCTTTTCTCGTGAAGTGAAGGGGTTCCACGAAAAGCTTGATTAGACGAAAATTCGTTTGGAAATTTGAAAATTTTGACTGTACTCTTGGCAATAGGCTATAGGAAAAGACTAAACGGTGAATCGTAGCAAATTTTAGATTAATTTCACTCCGTAGAAAGATCAAATCAATCAAACTTTCAAGACTAACTAGGAAAGGCTATAGGAAAAGACTAAACGGTGAATCGCAGCAAAGTTAATAGACTAATTTCACTTCTGAAGAAAGATCAAATCAACCAAGCTTTCAAGACTAACTAGGAAAAGGCTATAGGAAAAGACTAAACGGTGAATCGTAGCAAAGTTTAGACTAATTTCACTCCGTAGAAAGATCAAATCAATCAATCCTATGCTAGAAAGATCAAAGCAACCAAGCTTTCAAGACTAACTAGGAAAAGGCTATAAGAAAAGACTAAACGGTGAATCGTAATAAAGTAGCAAAGTTAATAGACTAATTTCACTCCCGAAGAAAGATCAAATCAATCAATATTAGATAAAAGATCTTTTCATGAGTTAATTATTTAATTTTAAGAACCTTTTCCAAAAGATTTTTGATCCTTTCCCATCTCCAAAAAACTTTCATCTTTTCAAAACAAAATTTGGAGACACTTTTTTGGGAACTCTTTTATAGGGAGTTCTGAGTAATGGAAAAACAATATTTTGATGAAAGGATATATGATTCAAGGTTGATTAATTATGAAGAAAGTATGTTTTTTTTTTAATGAATACCAAAATGACACAATCTATGAAGATTCCTAAGTCAAATTTGAATGCATTTCATAGAACAAATTATTCACGGAAACAGATTTTCAACATTCTCAGGACAGAATGCTCAGGGATTTTCCTGACTTCAAAACCAGGTACAGGTCTGGTCTGGCTTTTATGGGCTTTCAGCAAAGATTAGTGTGTGTTCCTAGTGAATAAGTAATTACTCAAGTAAAACTTGCATACCGTAAATACTGTAATAGTACCCCACTCCCCTCGTACAGTCGCGTAGTCGCAAAAGTTTTTTAGTATTTTGTTAATCAAAGCTTTTTTCAAAGCGCCCGTACTTTCAAAAAATGCGTCTTTGGTATCAAAAAATAGCTGAAATTCAGGGCTATTTTTTGATACCTAAACGAGCATTGTAGCATTAACCAGTGTTGAGGAAAACTCGTTCAAAGCTAGACTACGCAACGCTCCGCACCGTCATTATGGGGGTGCGGTCCAATTACAGTATTTACGGTAAGATTAATACACATGAATGCAAACACATAAACACGAAAAGGGCCGGTAAAAAAGCAAGACAATATAATGAATGGAATATTTTTGGATAGCACAGATAACGTCAAGAATCCACAGTTGAAATTATTTAACGAAATCATTTTTACTGTAAAAGCTCTTATTCAAGACCCCCCTATAGGAGTGGAGCGTGTTCCTCGCGAGTAAGTAATTACTCGAGTAAATTTGCATGGGTAATAGCTCGAGTAATAGCTCGAGTAATCTGCGCATTACTCGACAATTACTCGAGCTCGAGTAATTGTCGAGTAATGCGTTTTCTAAAAAGTGCGCCTGCGCGAAAAAATATAAAATCGTTTTTTACATTGGAAAGCAATTTCCCACCAAATCAGTTAAACGGCTGAGTATCTTTAAAAAGTGTCGTATATAATGCGGGGCTCGTCATTTTTGCGTCATTTTTTTGCAATAATTTTTGCTAAAAGTACGGTGAATTTTTCCTAAGTGTGCGTTTTAAAAAACGCATTACTCGCGAGGAACACACTCTAGACAGGACCATTGGATCCTGTGCAACCATTCGATCTTGTGCAACCATTGGATCCTGTGCAACTATTGGATCTTGTGCAACCATTGGATCTTGTGCAACCATTGGATCTTGTGCAACTATTGGATCTTGTGCAACCATTGGATGTTTACTTCTTTCAACAATTTAAAGGCGTAATGAAAAGAATTCACGATCTCACATTCGAGCCAGCGAACCGGATTTCAAGATCAGCAAGCGAGACTCGTCATTTTTACGTCATTTTTTTTGCAATAATTTTTGCTAAAAGTACGGTGGATTTTTCCTAAGTGTGCGTTTTAAAAAACGCATTACTCGCGAGAAACACACTCTAATATCATCATCTAAAGATCTAAAGTTGATCATTGATCAGAATTTGAACAAAATCAGAATTCAAAATCAATATTCAAAAGTTGCATCTCTGAAATTCACAAAAATTACTACAAAGTTACTCTTTGTTACTCTTTTAAATTTACTATTTACTTTTTAAGTTCGCAAGTTAAATCTTGTAATAGTTACAAATCAAAAAGTAAGCCGTCACCCTTGCGCATTCATTCGCTTTGTCACGTCACGAGAATCAGCAAAGTGGTTGAGCTTTGACTCGTGAAAGTGTGGGCAAGCTTTGATCATTCTAACTGAATTTCTTTAATTCTTTTGATATTTCAAATCTCTTAGCTGAATATCTTTTCTAATAATTCCTCGTACTAACAAACAATCATCATTGCGTCTTCTCAAATCCTTAAATCCTCAAAGATACTTTGTCCTGATCAATGGTTAAGTCTCAATTTGAAAATAAAAACAAATATTTAAGAGATTTAACATTTTAGGGAACTTTATTTATTTTAGATTATTAAAATTTGATTCTAAGAAGTGAATCCGTTTCAAAAAAGGGGAATAAATCGGATCATTTCTATTTTCTATCTTGTAAACAGATTGTTTACAGCTTGTCTAAGCTTGTCTAACAATTTTGTGTCAAGAATTTCCAAGAAAACTTTAAAAGACTACAAGAAAATTGGGAAAACATTGAATTGAAATTGAAGAGATTGAGAAGATCGGCAAAACATTGAATTAAAATCGAGAAAATCGAGAAAATTGGGAAAATCGGGAAAACATTGAATGGAAATGTCTTTTCGTTGTCTCTGAAAGGGCAAATGGATTTTGAGAAGAGCTTTGCTCTGCTTTGTGAACTGCTTTGAAAAACAATGCTTTGTGAAATCCCTTAGGAAAACAATAACAAAAATATTTTAAGCTCGATAACAGATTTAGTGTGAGATTTACTATGTAAAAGCTTTATATAGAAGAGTTTTCCAAATGATTTTTAAAGTTCTTAAAGTTCTTTTCAAATTCCAGGGTGGACCTAGCTGGTTTCCGAGTGAAAGAGCCCCAGGAATGGAGTGCTGACGATGTGGTTGCGTGGATGCTCGACGTCGCTCGATCACACAATATACCGTTCGAGGATTTCAATATGCATCGGGTGAGTGGAAAGAGAGTAAAACTGTGAAATGGGGGACAATTAGATGGTAAATGACAAAGGTAGAAATGATTTGAACGGGATTGATTTGATCGATCCTGCCTTTGCATCTAGATTAGAGTGTGTGCGTTGTCTACAAGGAACACACTCTAATCTAGATACGGAATGGAATTTTGGTCACGGTCGATGCTAAGCTATATATAACGGCATTCTATATAATGGAAATTTTTTTTGGTCTCTTCCATTCTCTTCCAATTTCTTGGAGTTTGTAAATAAGAGAACAAAATGTTCTTGAATTGGTGGATTCGTTTTTAGGAAATTCCAGTCAAACTAATAGACTCACTACCAGTGCTGACTATCAGTGCTGACTATTAGTGCTGACTATCAGTGCTGACTATCAGTGCTGACTATCAGTGCTGACTATCAGTGCTGACTATCAGTGCTGACTATCAGTGCTGACTATCAGTGCTGACTATCAGTGCTGACTATCAGTGCTGACTATCAGTGCTGACTATCAGTGCTGACTATCAGTGCTGACTATCAGTGCTGACTATCAGTGCTGACTATCAGTGCTGACTATCAGTGCTGACTATCAGCAGCACAATTCAAACTACTGCATTTAATCATAAGCATTGAATTTAAGCAATAAACAGTAAGCAATAAACAGTAAACAATAAACAATAAACAAGCGTGGCTTTAGTTCTTCAAGATAACTCTTTCAGTTTGCCAACTTTGATGGTAAAAGTATGATGAGATTATCGGAGACCTCTTTTCTGGAACTTGATGCAAACTATGGAGGGTTATTGTTTCGAGAATTCCGTAAAGCTTCATCAGGTTTGTCTTTTGAAATATAAAATCAAACATTTGAATGAACAGACATGGGTTTTGGATAGGTTTTTTTTCGGTTTGGTTTAATCAAAAAATCCGAAAATTTCGATTCGGTTCAATCGCGAAAATTTCGGTTAATTCGGTTTTGTAGCTAGTTTTTTAAGCACTTTAATGTGCTTTAATGCACTTTAATGAAATTATTCTTTATCTATCTTTATCTTTCTTTATCTTATCTTTATTTCTTTATCTCTAATGGTTTGGTTTGGTTTGATTTGTTTCGATCATTTGCTTTGGTTTGGTTCGATCCAAAAACGAACCGAAATCCATGTATCAATAAAACTATCAAACTGGATATCTTTTGTTGATAAATTTATCACGCTTGAAATAGAAAATTTGTATTTCAATTTCATTGTATTCAATAAATGAGAAAAGAAATTTGCGCTAACCAAAATCAAAAAAATTTTTGCTCTGGTTTGGTTCGATCCAAAACCGAACGGAAATCCATGTCTAATGCTATTATACAGTTATTATACAGTTATTATACAATACTTTAATCCATAAGCATCCATCTAATCCATCATCTAATCATCTATCCATCTAATCCATCTAAACTGAACGATCAAGCGTACTGTGGAGTTAAATGCAGTAGTTTGCATTGTGCTGCTGATAGTCAAGCGTACTGTGGAGTTGTGAACTGTAGTTAGACGCTTAGAAACAAGTTTAGTTTAGAAACAAATAGAGTCCAGTGATCCACTCAGCTTAATTTTATGATTCTTTTTTTGAGAATCTTCAATGTACCTTTGCAAACAAGAATCAAATAAATCAGAGAAAATTTCCCAAAAATCCAAAAATCAAAAAATTCCCTTTGATGTTCCGGTTCCATGATCAGCAACTAAACATTTATCAAAGAAAGAAAAAGGAAAGAAAAACAAGGAAGTAAAAATATAGAGAAGAATTGAAATCTTAATTCTATTCCTAAACAATTCTATTCAGTGACTCCAGAAGATACGGTAATCGATGATGCGATGAGAAAATATCGAGAGAGCGTTGATGAGGAACAGCAAAGAACCCAAGTGCAAGAGTACAAGCCAAATCCACTCCCAGAGTACAAGCATCACCCTTTACCCCAGGCATTACCCCAGGCATTACCACAGGTTAGTGAAGTGAACGATTTTATCTGTTTGATAACACTTAGTTTGATATTAAGGGAAAAATAAGCAACTTGTCCTTGTTTAGATCACAAGTTTAGAATAAAACAAAAAACTTTACAATCCTTATTGTTGGATATTCAGGGTTGTGCTTTCAAAACACAAACAAATCCTTCATACCTCGATTCTGCCTCTAATCTATCTTTCAATCAAGCTAATCAATATTAGTTTCAGGGTCCATTGTTAGGGTCAGGAATGTTAGGCCCATTGCCGCCTCTTCTGATGCCTCCTCCACGATCAATACCATCCACCGGTCTTCCACAACCACTTGCATTCACAGCGTAAGTCTTGTAAAGCCATTTTGATTTTGCTCTTCACTAAAGCGCGCCTTTCGTACCCTTTCCTTCCTCAAACAATGGTGATATATAAATACCGTATTTTCTCTACATAGTAGTGCACCCCGACGAGCCGAGTTGATGACTATTTTACGGTTTCCAAGCTTTTGCAGAAGCTCAACACTCAAATCCCCCACTAGATCTCATCGTCAGCTACATTTTCCGACCACACATCGATAGATTCTGATAAGCGGCTCTTGAGATTTCGAGGAATTCAGACGACGCTCAGGGTGCACTACTATTAGAGAAAATAGGGTATTGTTACTCGAATTTAGCACTAGACTAGAAGACTAGGTTCTAAGTCTTATATCTATAAGACTCTTATATCTATAAGACTTAGAATCTAGTCTTATCTTTCGAGATCTTTTGATATCTTTTTGGATCATTCAGTGCACCCGGTTTCTTACACGGCCACCAATTCGATCTCTCTGGAAAAGGACTCTCTTTACCGCCTCCACTACAAACCCAACAATCGCATCAACAATCGCAATCGTCGATTGTTGACACGACGAGGCTACAATTGGCACAGTGAGTTCACTTGTTTTCTGTAAAATGGTTTTGCTTGTGATTTGCTGCTTGATTTGCTCGAATAAGTGATTTTAGATCGCTGGCTGCTGCAAATAGTCTAACAACTTTGCAGAATTTGTCCACAAATCTCAGCCTACAGCAGATACAGGTATCTGATCGTCTTTTACAACCCAAGAATAGTTTGTTGTTTTATTAAACTGTCCAGAAAGTCTTTTCGTTTGAAACAAAACTTTTGTTTAAACAAATTCACCATTTGAAGCATAGCAACCAATTGAACTAAGGTTTGTTTCATTCTGGACAGTCTAATATAGTCTAATACCTTAATTCCTGAAGTACTTTTGTACTGGCTGTTTAACTATTTCTGAATTCAACTTCTAAATATTCACGAATCTCCAGGCTGCTTTGTCTCCTCGTTCACCGATGAACACTCAAGGCTTGTCACCAGGCACAATTGATCTTCTCTCGAAATACACGCATCAACAGCCCGGCACAAGCAATCAACACGATGAGGATTATTCATCTGATGGTTTGTTTTAAAAGTTTTTGAGTATAGAACCAAAAAATTTAAGATGATGACATGAAAGTGACCCGGAATAAAGACGGTCGACCGAGGAAACGCTCACAGCACACAAAGGGGAACAAATTGTGGGAATTTATTCGAGACGCGCTGAAAGATCCACTTACATGTCCATCTATTGTCAAGTTTGTGGCTTTATTGGCTATCGGCAAATAGTAGATAAGAAGAAGATAATACTATTTTATGACTAGTATTGTAAGTTTGAAGGAGTCAGGGGATGTTCTAATCGGCGTTTTGGAAACGTATTGGATAAAAAAGATCCGTATTGGAACCGTATTGGAACCGTTTAGGAACCGTATAGGAACCGTATTGGATTGGAACCGTATTTGATCTAGATCTAGCTTCGAAACCAGATCTAGACCTAGCTTTGAAACCAGATCTAGTTCTAGCTTCAGAACCAGAGCTAGATCTAGATCTAACTTCAGAACCAGATCTAGATCTATCTTCGAGACCTTTTCTCAGTTAGTAAATAAAACTAATTCGGAAAATTGTCTTTTAAACAACTCTAGTAACTCAAAATTCAAGGAGTACTATTAAAAGCACAGATTAATAATAAAACTTACGGTTTTTTGGCTATATTTTATCCAGAATTCACATGGGAATCAGATTTTATCCAAAACATAATTAAAAACCTTCATTTCCAGATGGGAAGACCCAATCGAGGGTGTTTTTCGGATCGTTGAATCAGAAAAACTGGCTCGATTATGGGGTGAACGAAAGAACAATCACAAGATGACATATGAGAAATTATCACGAGCGATGAGGTAAAGAAAATGGATAAGTTTTAGTGATCAAAAACCAATTGGGCACTATTATTTCCGGTTTTTCTCACGAGACACATTGGAAATTATTCATAGAACACCGAAAATCTGCTTTTCACGTATTGCAAAATCTGATTTCAGTTTGAATTCGAATTCGGATTTGGATTACGCTTAAAAGAAAGCGAAAGCTATTGAGACTAAGACTAAGGCAATGAAATATTTCAAGAGATCCTTGTAGGTGCCATTTAGATGACTTGTAGGTGCCATTTAGATGACTTGTAGGTGCCATTTAGATGACCACCCAATCTCGTTTCCATATCTAGATCGTTGATGATAGTTTGGAAAAAGTTTATGTATAACCTTTTACAATTTCTTCAACATGAACCGCATCGGGACTGTTCTAGCATTGAGAGTATGCCAGATGATTAGAGTTTTTGCGTAATCAGAAAGAGAATGCGATTCTTAAAACGTGAAAACTTTTGAAAACTATGGGACGTTTACACTTATCGGACTAAATTGTTCACAGTAAGCTAGTCCTCTAATTGATCCTGTAGCCTTTCTTTTTTCAGATCTTTTCAAAGAAATATTATATAGAACCTACTATGAGAAGCAAATCTTGGTGCCCGTGCCGAAGACGGGCCTTTACCCGAAGAAGCTCGTCTACAAATTTGGTCCATGTTCTCACGGGTGGCAAGGACTGAAGCAGCATATTTAGTGAGTTGGATAGCTTTTTAGAAAACCGATGTACTCTAATCGAAAAGCTTTTTTGCTCAAATTCTCGTTTCAGATTCAACAATGCGGGTCGTTTCTCAAGTGTCACAACAACAAATTGACTCACCCAGGTGTACTTTGTGCTTAGAAATGGAAACAAATTCTTTCTAGCGCCTTGAAATCGCCATTTCCTTTGTTGATGAGGAATTTGGTTCACCAGAATTGCCACCAGAATCTGTGTTTCCATTTTTGAGTACAAAACTCTCAAAAAAGATCTCACAAAATCTTCCTGAAATTCCCGGAAAGCACAAATTGTTATTAAATTCTTTTATCTTTTTGTTTTATCTTTTTTTTTTACTTTATTTTATTCTCTTGCCAAGTAAATTAGTGTTTGTTAATATTGGGTTCGTGAATTGAAAAGGGCTATTGTCATATGTCATATAGTCAAAAATGGAGGACTGGAGATGTTCCAGTTTGAGCATTTGAGCACTTTCTTCAAAAGAAACCCATTTTGGTGTCAATGGAAAAGTTGTAGAGAATCAAAAATCAAGCTTATATCCAAATTTTCAGACCGATTCAAAAACTCGCTTTCAAGAAATGCCAAATTTACGAATTTTCACAAAACTTGAATTTTAAGCCAAACTACTAAGTGTATCTTTTTGCAAATTTGGCTATAGGCCTAATTTTTGATTCTCTACAACTTTTCTATTGACACCAAAATGGGTTTCTTTTGAGGAAAGTGCTCAAATGCTCAAACTGGGACATCTCTAGTCCTCGATTTTTGAGTCTCACACTTGTCTCACACACTTATACTGAGAGTTGCTGGATAGCAAGACGACCGTTAATGCAATCAAATACAGTGGACAGTTGCAATCAAATACAGTGGAAGGTGAATGAATCCCTAAAGAAGAATAGGCCCTCCAAGTCAAAGATCGTTCTCACCCACGACATACTTCAATTCCCCAACCCAATAGTTTTATTTCTGAGCCAGTCAAACGAAAACGTAAATCTCAACGAAAACTCGAAATTTCCTAAGCTAGAAAACTGATTCAAATTTTTCCCTCAATCCCATTGAATCCCATTGAATTCATATCTTTTGCTCTTCATTTATTCAAATTTTGTCCTTTTCTTGCATCTCTATCGATTCGTTTGTTTTCTTTTCATTCTTGCCATTTCATTTCTTTATGATTTTCTACAAAAAATGTGATTCTTGCCGACGAAAAATGTTCATCGAATCAAAAATTGTTTTAGAAGAGAAAATACAGGGTTTTCTAGTCAATCGATTCCATTTTTTTTTCATTATTTCATTCAAAATAAAGCAAATTTGATTATCAAGCGTTTACTAAACTGTGATTTATTGAAAAAAAACTCTTAATTATCAATCTAAAGCTCTAGGGTTTGGTTCTTATGCGTTCTCAATTGAAATCCATCAGTAGAGATTATTCTCTTGCTTTAGATCAAGAGTGGGAGCTATTTTTCTGATCTATTCGGGCCAACCTGAGCCTAAGCTTAACTATAAGTCATAGTTTCACAGCTAGCTCTATAGAACAACACTGTGAAAGCTCTATAGAACAATTAAAAGATAGAAAAACAAAAGCTTTATCGGTTTGATTAATGCCTTGGCACTGCGTGGATCGAGTATTCGAGTCAATTCGGGGAGACTGTTCATAGTAAAAAGGTTTTTATATAAACAACGAGACGTCAATCAAGCTGTTTTCTTGGTATCATTGAATTCAGCTCATCGAGTTCTATAAAACTAGCTTTAAAAGAGTTGGTTTTGACATCTGATTGCCTGGATGTGGCTCGAAATAGCTTAAACACTGATGCTTTTAACTGGCAACAGAACACTTTACTGATACACCAAATTGTTCAAAGTTCGCTTGACAAAAGTCAGCTATATCTTGAGACAACATTAATGTCAGAAAAGTTACCACACGGATAACTGACTTGTGGCAGCCAAGCGTCCATAGCAACGTTGTTTTTTTGATCCTTCGATGTTGTTTAGCCCAAACTGATGTCCTTTCAAATACTTTTTCTTGAGATTTCGATTCTCAAAACCGAAAAAATATTTTGTTTACTTCAATAAAATAACGAAAATAAGAAAAAGAAAGGCAAAACAATGATAAAGAATGAGATTCGTCGACCATTTTCCGAGTTTCGAATCAATGGATAGAAGAAATCGGAAGGAAGACGGAGATCGATTTTCGGGATCGCCGCGAAATGGTAGGAGGCTGCTGAAAATTGTTTTCAGTAGATTTTACAGTACAATGCTTTTATGATTTATTTAAAATATCAATTTTATTCATAATTAATACACTAATATTGTAATATTGGATACGGTAACGCTTTACAAATTGTCGCAAAAGTTCTGACACAACTTCTTGTAAAAACAGCTAGCAAATGTCCAAAAATTATTTCAAAAGTGATAAATGTTAAATAGAGATTCAAAGCCCAGAATCTTGGCTACATCTACATACCCAAAGCTTTCAAATTGGAGTCACACAACTCATGTGACAAGTTTTTATAAAGAAAATCACCAAAAATGACAGCATGCCGGGAAGAGGCCGAGTTCTGCTCACTCAAAAACTTGTCACCTGTGTTGTGTGACTTCAATTCGAAAGCTTTTGGTATGTAATTGTAGCTAAGATTCTGGGCTTTAAATCTCTATTTAAAACTTATCACTTTTGAAATAAGTTAGACATTTGCTAGCTGCTTTAAAAAAAGTTGTGTCAGAACTTTTGGGGCACTCTGCAGATGCTCTTTGTGCTCGAAATCCGAAACATATCCATTCTGTTGCACTAAAGTCTATTTTCTTTCAGCATTTACCATTTGTTATTTGCCATTTTTTTTAATAAAACCTTATTTTATAAGCTCACGTTTTGTGACATCTCGAAAGTTGACTCGTCGAATGACAAAGAATTTTGGAGTTGTTTCGAGATCGATTTGCATTGTTTGCACATTCACATAGGCTCCCACGATCTGTATTTTGAACAAATTTAATTTGAAGCACTTTACCAAAATCAGTACTTAAGCCTATGCAAAAGGTTTTCATACCAATACCTTTATAGAGTTGTTTTCTTTTGTTCCAACTTTCGCATACGCTACATCAACAGAGATGATCGAGGGAAGGAAACAACGAAAATCAGAGCCACCCTAAATAAATTTAAAGAATAGCTTGATAGCTTTAAAGCTATCAAATCTTTCATAAAATTTACCGTATTGATTTCGACAGTTTGATTTCGTCGAATCACTGGAATACTTTCTGTGGATTTTGGAGAAATAAGGAGATTGGAGGGAAGAGTTTGAAGGAGTGAAGAGGTGATTTGTTCAAGCATTTCACAAGAGGATTCTCTAGAACAAGAAAGTTTTTATTGAATTTGACCAGACTTTAGAACTAGGAATCAGTCTAGTTTAGCTCGCAACTCACCGAATCTCACATCCGACGGACAATTCTCTTTTGAAATTGACGACTCGCTCTGTTGAGTGATAACATCCACTCACATCGTACAGTATCCAAGGGACAGTGTCTCCTAAAAGGTGCAACTTATGTTTACTAGTTTATTCTACACTCTTTTAAGTCTATAGTCTATAAAAAGTCTATAACTTTTGAGTTTATAGAGTACAGTAACTGAACTCTATTAGCCTGAAACAGTTGGATCTTTTAACTGTAATTTAACAGCTAGTAAATGTCTAACATATTTCAAAAGTGATAAGTTTTAAATAGAGATTTAAAGCCCAGAATCTTGGCTACATCTACATACCAAAAGCTTTCAAATTGAAGGCACACAACTCATGTCACAAGTATTTATAAAGAAAATCACCAAAAATGACAGCATGCCGGGAAGAGACCGAGTTGTGCTCACTCAAAAACTTGTCATATGAGTTGTGTGACTTCAATTTGAAAGCTTTTGGTATGTAATTGTAGCCAAGATTCTGGGCTTTAAATCTCTATTTAAAACTTATCACTTTTGAAATAAGTTAGACTTTTGCTAGCTGCTTTTAGAAAAAGTTGTGCCAGAACTTTTGGGATACTCTGTAGATGCTCTTTGTGCTCGAAATCCGAAACACCTCTATTATGGTAAAGTGGTAAATGTTAAATAGAGATTTAAAGCCCAGAATCTTAGCTACATCTACATACCAAAAGCTTTCGAATTGGAGTCACACAACACAGGTGACAAGTTTTTGAGTGAGCAGAACTCGGCCTCTTCCCGGCATGCTGTCATTTTTGGTGATTTTCTTTATAAAAACTTGTCACATGAGTTGTGTGACCTCAATTTGAAAGCTTTTGGTATGTAGATGTAGCTAAGATTCTGGGCTTTAAATCTCTATTTAACATTTACCACTTTACCATAATGGATGTGTTTCGAATTTCGAGCACAAAGAGCATCTACAGAGTATCCCAAAAGTTCTGACACAACTTTTTCTAAAAGCAGCTAGCAAATGTCTAGCCTATTTCAAGAGTGATGAGTTTTAAAAAGAGATTTAAAGCCCGGAATCTTGGCTACATTTATATACCAAAAGCTTTCAAATTGAAGTCACACAACTCATGTGACAAGTTTTTGAGTGAACGCCTTTTATTTAAAATTTAAAATTCCACTTACCATGCTCATTCTTGCTCCAAAGCATTTCCCCATCAGAAAACTCATCATTTGTTGGTTGAATTGTTTGAATTGGGAAAAGAGTTTTCACAAAATTCACTTCAAAAGAGATCGAAATCGACTCATAATTCTCATCATTCACTTTTGCATATCTCAATGATTTCAGTGTCGCCGAAATGATTTCATTTTTTCGATTGAGTTCAACTTGGAGAACGCTCTGAAAAACGATTTAAAGAAATAATAGTTTATAGTTTATATATATATGAATAGTTTTCAAACCTTTGTCAAAACGTTTTCACAAAGATTCTCTCTTGCATTCCATGTTGGCTCCAGTAAATTTTCAAAGGACATGATCAGAGTACTCTGATTTAAAAGCTGAACGAAAGTTGACTCATTTATTAGCTAAAATTTATCATCGTTTACCGTATCCTGTCCAAAAGTCAGATTCTGATCAAAGATTCGTCGAGCATTGATCAAAGCGTTCTCTGTACAATAGGATTGATTGAAATTGAGCCACGGAATCAAGCAAGATGTGGCGATGTTCTTTGAGATTTCTAAAGCATAGAAGATTTCTATAAGCCTGTAATCTTGTCTCTTGAATCTTTATTCCAATTATCTACTTGTTCTTTAATATCTTTGAGAATCCATTCAGCCATTAATTGAATAAAAGCAAGAGCCAAGATTACGCTAGCTTTCAAAAGTTGGCACGTTTACTTACAAAGAGCTTTACAAAGTTTTACAAAGCTTTACAAAACGAGCTTTACTTACAACTTTACCAATCCTATTCCTCACCTACAGTAACCTCTCCAACACATTTCGGTGAGAAAGTCTTTAATGGGACGAGGAAAGGCGCACCGTCCGAGTATCGTAAAATCCCTTTGTAATCGATCTTAAAGCATCGATCAAATTTGTGGATTATTCCTGTTAAAGGAGATCAGCGGAATACAGATTACAGAACTTAACAGATTACAGAACTTAACAGATTACGGAACTGTTTCGCTAACTCTTAGGTGGTGTTCCATCAGTTTCTAGTACTCTACATCATTCAGAGCAATGGCCTAGCTGTCAGCAAACGGGCATAAGAGGCTGTTCGCTGAGATTAGGCTAAGGTTCTAGACTCCAGCCAGTACTCCAGAGGCTAGAGTTTGGAGTACTTTACTAGAGTCTAGAGTCTAGAGTACTAGAGCACAAATTATTGTACTTTTTAGCGGAACAGTTACTAGCTTTGTTGTTAGTTGTTAGCTCTGGTGATTCCCCTGTTTTGTTATCGAAATGATTCGTTTAATCTTTTACCTTATAATCCTCATTTCTTTCATTCTCGAGATGATTCAGCTGAATGAAAGCCTCCATTTCTTCAGCCGTTTCGATTACATTCACCGTTTCCAGAATTTCGCTAGCTAAATAGCATTTTCATTGAAAAGATTGAAAAGATTGAAATCTTTCAATCTAAATCTGAATCTAAATCTATATCTAAATCTAAATCTATATCTATATTTATATTTATATCTAAATCTAAATCTAAATCTAAATCTAAATCTAAATCTAAATCTAAATCTAAATCTAAATCTATAACTAAATCAAAACTAACTTAATCAAATCTCTAATAAACATAAAATCAACTTTGTTTCAAAAGGCAAAACGGATGAATGGACGGGAGCAATGATTGAGTATCTCGGTAAGCCCAAATGTTCGGAAAGCATTGTTCTTCGGAGAAAACAAAAGAGAAATTGGATAGAAATAATAGAAATAATAGAAATAGAATCATTTTACCAGATTACATTGTTATTTACAAACAAATTTCCTGTAACTAGATGGAAGAAGAAGTGTTCAGCTGGATGGGGGGAGGTTGTCATGGTGATCGCATAATTTTCCTCCTCTTTTGAATGAGGGTAAGGTAAGCTCTTAATTGAGAGCGGAAATTGTAGGGCAAAGAGGCTAAAGAGGCTAAAGGCCAGCTAGTTACCATTGTAGAAAAAAACTAGTACTAGTTTGTTAAGCAGATTTCTTTTAATCGTAATAGAAGCAAATGAAAAGTCAGCTCATAGCTTGAAGCTGCCTAAAGAGGTTCAAAATATTCTTATCTGAGCTTATTTTACCTTTAAAAAGTCACAATTTTTATACATTGAATAGAAAAAATGACTTTTTAACTTAAACTTGCAAAAATTTGAGTTAAAAAGTCTTTTTATTAGAGACTGGTTAGTTAAAATGAATACTAACAAGGGAAGATGAATTGGGTGTGACCAAATGACACTAACCATATACTATTCGACGCAGAATTTTGCCCTGATTCCGAATCTGCTTTCCGTTTTTGCAACGTTACACTCTGTCAAAAGTTATAAAGAGTCTGTAGTACGGAAACTCGTTATTAAGTTGAGGAAAAAGTAATATCGGATTTTTTTCACAAAACTGTTTATTGCTAAAAAAAACAAACAAACGCACATCAATCAATGAGATATGCTCCATTATTATTGATAATAGAGAACTGTTCTTGTTTCCATCTTCGTCACAACTCCCTGATCCCATCCTCAAAAAAAAAAATGGGAAGTTTTCGAGCCAAAATAAGTGTCGACTGCTTTTTTTGATCTGTGCATGATTCTCGAATTTTTCTCGCATAAGAAAACTCTTCAACAATCGAAACAAAAAATAATCTGATGGGGCTAGGTCGGGACTATAAGGCGCGTCGGGAGTGGGACAAATGCGACCTTTTTTTTGCGCACCCGGACATTTGCGCACCTTGCCCATTGGCGCACCTTTTTTCGCGTTTTAAAAAGCCCTAAAAAGCTAATATTAACCAATTTCTATTCCAAATGTTGTTTTTCTAGGTAATTTTAGGGTGTCGAATTCAAATTTTAACATAACAGTGAATTTTTCAATTTTCAAATCAATTTTAAATCTTTATATCTTTTCTATTAAGTTGATGAATAAGTTTTTTCGTTTCTTTTCGTATTTCCGTTGAAAAATAGCAAATTCACCATTTCAACTACGATTTGTTTCATTAGAAAGGTTAATTATTAGCTAAATTTTTAGAGAAATTCATTCACCCAATTTCTTTGTAGAGATTTTTATAGATTTTTACGAAAACCGCGTTTTTATTCTCGAATTTGCTTGTAAGTGAACCGAAATTGTCTTAAAAAGGTAAAAATTGAACAAGAAACACTTTTTATTTAGAGAAAACTATAGGTTTATTTATTATTTTTCAACAAAAAATATGAAAAGGAATAAAATTTTAAAAAATGAAAATTTTTTTGATGAAATATGTCCAATTTTTGTACCTAGAGAGATTTACAATTTGTAAATTATGAGCGGAAGAAAAGTGAGAAAATGGTCAATGAGAGAAGCGATGAGAAGAGGAATGAGGTCTCCATTCCGGTGGAACACCTGAAAAAATGGGTTTTGTGGTGTTGGTGAGGAAAAAGTCTCGAAATCAGCTCCCCAGAAAGGGAGTGTTTCGATTTTTCCGTATAAAATATCGCTAAGATCACAGCTACTGCGAAGTGCTACAACTAGAGGGTTTCCTCCTCCATTACAGTATACACCTAAAGGTATTCAGTCTGCCCGTCTGTCTGTCTCTTTGAAAATCAATATAATATAGCTATGCCTTTAAAAAAAACAGAAAATTCAAAATTGAGAGGGGCTTTGGGGGTCGAACCCGGGCCCTGCGGGTTTATAGACCGGCAGGCTCCCGATTGCGCCGCCAAGACCTAAAAGCCCGGACCAGAAAAAGCTCGTATTAAGCAGGCCATCTCATTTTTCGGCTTTTACAATTAGATTGAAAATCTGTAAAAATCAACCAAAAAGCAATAAAGTTTTTTGACTGATTTTATTTGAATATTAGATTTTGATTAATTTCCTTTTGAACAGTTGTTTACATTTTAAATTTTAAATATAGAAATCTAATTTCTAAATCACTTTAAAATTTCAGCTCTCAATCAAATCAATGAATGGATTAAGCATCAAATTTTGCCAAGAGAGTCCGAATGCGAAGACCAGTTTATGAGGTAGTGGCGATTTTTATGTAATTTTTGCAGAGCTTTAAGTAAATATTATAGAATATTCAGTTGCATTATAGAACAAAGTTGTTGTTAAGTTTTCTATTTTTTTAAATCATATCCTCCTAAAAACGTACACTTTCTCATTGGTTTCCTTGTTCAAAGTGCACGTCTTTCGGCGATCACAAATCTCGCCAAACCACTCGTATTCACAGTCACATCTAAAAGTGAAAATTTTAAAAAATTCAAGCTAAAATTGCATTTAAACTAATGTCAGAAGGTTTTTTTTTGACAGATTTCTATCATTTTCAAAACCGACCTTCCCGGATATCCGACTTCTTGAGTGAAATTTCCATGCAAACAACTGATAATCTAAAAATTGTCATAATAATATTTGATTCGTTATCTGAATAAATATAGAATAAATGTTCTAAATTTTCATTAAATTTCGATTAAATTCCGACCTGATCACAATCCTTTCCCGTGTAGTGATCCCCGCAAATGCACTCGGTGCTGTTCACGTTTCGGAAACGCTTCTCGAAATCTAAAATCCTTCCTTTTTCTATACTCGATAAGAATTTAGAATTTTTATCTAAAATTTTTAAGCTTACATTTCTTTAAAACAATAGAATTCGATTTATATACGATTTCTAATTCATTAGCAAGATATTTCTTTAAAAAAAACGAACGCTGTTGCGTCTTCCTCCAGCACGCCAATCGCTCACAGAGTCGCCCGTCCCATGGAACCTTTAAAGAGCTTTTTACTGATATTTTAGTTTGGTTATAATATGAGAGATATAAGGATCAAACTCTGGCTGCTCTGCTTGATGGGCTAGAACGCTAGAACCAGGCAGGATCAGCGGCCCGATTCAAGCTTAGCTTCTGGCCTAGATCTAGGAATAGACCTAGATCCTGGTTCTAGCGTTCTAGCCCATCAAGCAGAGCAGCCTTTTATTCGCTGCCCAGAAAATCTTTCCGTTCCTTTTCGTACTTTCTAATAGGCCTAGGACTATGTTAAAAGCTACGAAGCCTGGCTTGGCCTAGAAAAATAGCTGTAAAGCCATTGCAAGCATCAAAAACATTTACATCTATGATTTCTTCTAAAACCAACCGGACACGTGCACTCGACCATATTTTTGCCTACAGCGATGTCTCCACCATGATAACAAGCATTTGGAATACATCTAAATATCAATATTTGGCTAGATTTCAAAAAAATTCTTGAGATTAATCACCAAATTGACTACACCCACTTTCCCTGGAACCAAGCTCTGCTCGTCTTGTTGTCACCTTTATCACAAAGCGCTGAAAGATGACAGAATGCTCCATACCAATTCTCCATGCATTTACAGACACCATCAGTCAATTGACCTTTCACTGAAATTTGGAAATTGAGTAGAGTGTACTAGATTCGGTGAGATGATTGAATCACTCTGCTCAAAAATGAAAACTCACCTTCTAGTGCACGAAAGAGAAAAAGCGAGTTTTTAAGTTCATATTTTATTTTTAAACTTACACCGAAGATGCGTGCATCTCCAAGCCTCATATTCGGCTTGCAAGGAGTTATTGAATTGAGCTTTATTGTAGCGTTCGCAATGCTCGACGAAACCGTCAACAATACCAAAACCGTGTTGAGCGCTCCGATCACAGCCCTCATCAATGTCACTAAAGATTTTAAGTGAAAAATCATTATCACTATGAGTTCAAGTTTAAATCTAGTTAAAAGAAATGAAAAGATTTTCTAGACAGCTTTCTAGGCAGCTTTTTAGACAGCTTTCTAGGCAGCTTTTCAAGCAGCTTTCTAGCCAGCTTTTTAGATAGCTTTCTAGGCAGCTTTCTAGGCAGCTTTTTAAGCAGCTTTCTAGGCAGCTTTCAAGGCAGCTTTCTAGGCAGCTTTTTAAGCAGCTTTCTAGGCAGCTTTCTAGACAACTGTCTGGATAAACTAATAGAATAATCAAAGACAAAACCTATAAAAGCTGATACCACTTAATAAAGTTTAGATTTTAATCATATTCAAACAAATAAAAGAACACAGAACAAATCTATTAATCTATCTATTGACACATAACAAATCTATTATTATAATTATTTTCTAAAACTCACGTTAATCTTGCTCAATGTACGCCTGTTTGATCTTTTTCCTTTGATCGTTCAGCTTCAATCACCCAGATAAACAACGAGAAACTCAACAGTAACAATCGCATTTCTGAAAATGAAATAATTATTGAAATTCATAAAGAAAATGAAAAATGAAATAGAAAAAGAGATTAAAGAAGTTTAAAGTTTAAAATACGAACGTGAGGGCTTAGGAATGACGCATAGCACAGCAAAAAGTGCTTAGAAATGACGGGAAAAGTAAAAAAGTGCCAAAAATTTCACTAGATGCAATGAAAATTGAGGTTAAAACTTAAACAAAGGTCAAAATTGATTTCTAATAGTGTACTTTATGTTTAAAAGTAAAGCACACTCTTTCTAGTTGACTGAAATTGTTAGTTTTCTCGTGAAAGAATTCGTTTCTGCAAGAAAATTACAGAAATAACTCTAGAAAGAGTGTAAAGCGAGATAAAAGACTCAAAAAAAACCTCGAAAAGCCAAAGTGTGACTTGTAGAAAAAAAATAGAATAAATCAAGAATGGAAAATCCTAAAAAAACCGATAATTGTCAGCTTTTCCTTCAGAAAAACTGCATTTTTTTACTTTTTCATTTTTCTATTCTCTTTCTTTTCAATCTTCCATCAATCTATCGACATTTTGATAGATTTTTCGAAAGATTGAGC